GAGGAGGAAAACAATCTCTTAAAGAGGCTCGAAATATAAAGCTCACAATCTACGTAGGTTTGCTACTACTCTAGATGCGGGGAGACTCATGCCTTGATCTCCCGCATGATGATCATCAATAAATAAAACCTAGTGGAGTGTGCTAATAAAAAAACCAGCCAACGCTCTCCCCGGCAGCAGAACAGAACATAATCGCATCAAAGCAGAGACTAATCGATCGCTCCAAGATAGGTAGGGAATTGAAGAGAAAGGCGGTCGATGGAAATTTTGGTGAAGACACATGGTGGCTCCCGTCCTTCCATCATTCGTTGTGCCATAAAGCGAGCGGCCCACTTCCCACGTGGCTGCCTTGCTAAAGCCGGATCGTGTCGCCCCCGCCTTTCCGCCATTGTCGACGCCTTGGATTGGGTAGGAGCATCATGCCTTGTCGATGGATGAGAGTTGGCAGCCTAATCATGTGGCGTCGATCAGGTAAGTTGCCAAGGATAAACTGATCATTTGTTTGTCCCCGTCTTCTTTAGATTCTGCAAACAAAAGCATCGGCCGATTACAGTCAGTGATCGATTGTTGATAAATTATGTTTATCAGAGTTCATTCAGTGCAAGTAAACGTACAAAGCAGAACTTTTTATTTATCATTTCAGGAAAAGTATTTTTTTGCAATTCTAGGGACGCATGTATTTGCAATGAAAGAATATTACAGTTTGCAGTTATCCTTCAGTACAAGTAATCCGCCCAGCAAATCTAGACCATGTCGTGTCTTCTCACAAATCCCCAAAAGGGCCAGAGACTCAAACATTCTAATATACAAAAAAAAGCAAACTTTTTTTTTCGAAACGGAGGCAAAGATTGCCTCATCTATTAAATAAGCAGAAGAGAATTGCCCAGTTAATTACGGAAAACCAGGCAAAAACCGAAACAACAAGGGCCAAGCCCATTCTCATAGACTGAAATATATACAGGGCAAAGCCCACCCTAATCGACGACAAGTCGACCTATGACCGGACAACGCAGCTCCGACTCAAATGGAGAGCACAGAAGAACAAAACCAGGCACGGCTGGCGCCACGGAAGATCACCGAACGGGCCACCTGCAGCTAGTCATCGTACACCATAGGGCCCTGCCGCTGCAGCTTCGACTCCACAACAACAAGAGCCGAGGCGAATTCGTGGACACGCCGGAGAAGAGCCGACTACCGCAACCATTGCCGCGTCGCCGACATCGCTCCCACCATCATCGTTGCCATAGAAGTCTAGTCACCACAGTAATACTCTCGGGGCCGCCGCCCCGACATCCACCGCTCCGTCGCGCCCAGCGCAATCAGCCTGCACCGCCTTCCGAGGCCGCCGCCCCGACATAGCACCGCTCCATCCGAGCAGCAACACCGCACAACCCAGCTGCCTGCAGCCCACAATGCTCAGGGCAACCGCTCGCAGACCACGAACGTCGCACCACATTCGGGGCCGCCGCCCCGATGTAAAGTCAGACCGCCCCCTCTGGGGCGCATCGACCGAGCCGATACCCCTACGCCCAAGCGAAACAAGGATGCCACCCAACCAATGTCGAGATAGAGCCCCACCTCATAGAGCTACCACTCACGTTGTTCCCGAGATCGCCATCTCGACTCACAATCAGAAACCATCCGGAGCCGCCGCCCCGACGTCCATTGCCCCTGACGATGAAGAGATCCGTGCAAACTGCAACATGCTGACTCTCCAAGACGATGCCTCAAAGAAGGAAACGACGTAGCCGCCGTTATCGCCCGCTTCAGCCATCTGAAGCTAGGGATTTCTCCCGGAGAGTCGTGCAAAGGAGCACCACGGCAACACCTTCAAGAAGGGGAACGACACTATGACCATGGTGCCGCTGTTGCCGGCACCGACCCAAGGTCAATGCTGGACTTTCGCCCGGAGCTCCTCCACACCTTCGAATCCAAGCAGATCCGAGCACTGCATAGCACACAATCCCCACGTCGACATCCACCTCTTCCACCTCCCCGCGGCGCCAAGCACCGCCCGAGAACCACCACGGTTCCCAGCCGCAGCCATGAACCAGACGCGCCAATGCAAACAAGCCTGCCGGAGACCGGAAGCCTCAGATCCACCACACCTGCACCCTCTGCTCCGTGCCTCCCAACATCAGCCACTGCACCCTCGCGCGCACATCGAGCCACACGTCGAAGAGCCGTGCAGACCCGCCGCCGCCCCTGCCAGATCCGCAAGCTGCCGCTCCGGCAGACGCCGCCCCTTGCGGCCGCGCACTCAGCACCACACCAGATCCGGGCGCGGGGGCCCCGGATCCGCTGCCCCGCCGGAGGTTGGGAGCTCCCGAGCACTAGCGCAGCCCGCGCGACGGACCACGCGCTGGCACCCGCACGAGCCCGACACGAGGACGCCCGCGACCTGGAGAAGACGAGGCCCCGCCGCCGCCGCTGCCACACGGCCTTTGGCCGGTGGCGCACTCTGACGGCGGCGAGAGGGAGGCGCGAAGAAGACGACTGCCGGCGGCGGTGGTTGGTGCGCCGCCCGTGTCGCTCGTGCGGAGCGACGCGGGGGCCTTTTTTTCTCCCTGGACGAGTTGTGACTTGTGAGTAGGCTCTAAAAAAAAGAGCAAACTAGGGAGACACCAGAGATGTAACATGTCTCTCGGCGTGCAATCCCTGGTTACAGAAACCCAAACTGTACACTTTTTGCCAACAGTAGCACTATGTACTCGCTCATTTTCTGATTGGAACCTTCTGATCCAAGAATAGCCATCTGATGATGAATATGAGCAAGTTGATATGTGCAAACGCTATGTAATGTAATGTAACTATGTGCAGCTGCGTTATTTACTGTGCAGCAGCAAGCAAGCCTAGTAAACTTTCTACCGTGCCTGTGTCACTGAAACTGCCATACATGTTTAGCAGGGACTGTATAACGGATTTGGACAACAATAGGCCCTTCTTTACAATGCACGCATGCATTGCCTTTCCATATTGTACCGAGGTTGCAGCCTTCATGGCAACAAGTGCTGCGGAGAAAATTGTTGGACTTGGTGCTCGCTCTACTTCTTGCATCTTGCAGCATAGATTCATTACCTCGCAGTGCATACCATTTCGAGACAAGCCACTTATTAACAGGCTCCATGTGCGTAGATTTGGGCGTGTTTTTGTTAGTAGCATCTCATTGAAGATCTCTAGGGCCTCACTAATCTGCTCATTCTTCATAAAAGCTGAAATGACTGAATCCCAGCACGCTGCACTTGGAGATATGCCCTGATGCTGCATCTGATATAAAACCTTGAGAGCCTGAGAACTCATCCCATGATCTGCATAAGCAGAAATCATCACTCTGCACACGACCATGTCTCTGCAACTCATGGCATCGAACAGCCTGCGTGCATGTTCGGTCCTTTGAGTACTCATATACAACTCTATCAGGCCACAAGCAACCGCTTGGTCTGATTCAAGGTAGTTTCTAACTGCATAGCCGTGAGCAACTCTGCCCATCTCCATACCACAGGATGTCATGCAAGCCATGATAATGGATGCCAACGTCACACAATCAAACCTAAGGCCAGACTGGAGCATTTTTCGACAAGTGATCAAAGCCTTGTCGGTTTGCCCATCCTGCAAATACCCAGCAATCATCAAATTCCATGTAACAGCGTCTCTTTCAACCATCTGCTCAAACACGGCCTCTGCAGCCTCGACCATCCCAACCTTACAGTAAAAGTTGATGATTGAGCTCCCCAAAATTACATCCATCGCTAAACCACTCGATACGGCCACGGCATGGCCCTGCCTACCCCAATCAGGAGCTTCAAAATCGGCCGATGCAGACAGAAGGCTAAGAACGCTCACCCTCGTCGGCAGCACGCCTTCAACCCTCATCTGATAGAACAATTCCACAGCAGCATCGATTCTCCCATTGTTTATATACGCCATCAACATGGAGTTCCAGGTCACCACCGTCGTCTCCGTCATTGCATCAAACACCTCCCGCGCGTCATCCACCTCGCCACACTTCCCGTAGAAGTCCACCAGGCTGCTCAACACGTATACGCATTCCATGAACCCCGCCTTCCAGGCGTACCCGTGCAGCGCCCTCCCGGTCCCGACCATCCCGATCCCGGCGCATGACTTCAGCACGCTGGGCACGACGAAGTTGTCGGCGGGGACGCCCGCCTGCAGCATGTCGATGTACCCGTCGAGGGCCCTAGCGTGCAGCCCGGCGCGGCTCCATAATCCGATGACGGCGGCCCAGGCGAAGGCGTTCTTTTTGGGTAGCGCGTCGAACACGCGCTCGGCGTCCGCCAGCGCGCCGCATCGGGCGTAGAAGACAGCGAGCTTGGTGCCGATGTAGGCGTGGCGGCAGTAGTAGGGCCCGCGCTTGACGGCGGCAGCGTGCACCTGGCGTCCCGCGCGGAGGGACCCCGCGGCGACGCAGCACTGCAGGAGGGACACGTACACCTCCGGGCCGACGGCAACGGCAGCGCCGGGGCTCGACTGGCGCTCGGCGCGGGAGACGAGGGCGAAGGCGTCGCGGAGGCTGCCGTGGTCGCTGCCTTGCTGGGAGAGGGAGGCGAGCGCGGCATGGAGAGAGGCGGGCCGCGGGGACTCGTGGGGTTTGGGTGGGTAGGGAGTGGCGGGAAGGGGGAGAGGAAGCGGAGCCATGGCGGTGCCGTGCCATGGAGTTCGGAAGCGGAGGATAAAGGGGTAAGGGCCGTGAGGTTGATGTTTAACGGACTAATGGGCCTCATAAAATTACTTGTTTTTTCTGTTTCCCATTTTTACTGGGCCTTAGGTATTAGCTGTACGTGTATATATACGCTCACACTGGGCCGGCCCATTCGGGTTCCGCTTCGCGAGATAAAAGAATCGCAAAAACAGCAAGCTCCATGTATCGAACCAATAACCTGCATTGCCTGTACACGCCGCACTAACCACCAAGACTGGAGCATGCAAGTGAACGAAAAACAACGCCCTGCTAGAAGAGGTTCGCCAACGAGGGATGATGTAGGCCGGCCCGACCACCGATTTTAGGTTTTTGAGCCGTTTTTTTTTGGAGCTTTCTAGGAGGTTCCTGAACCGGTTTTTTTGCTGTTTCGTTTTTTCTTTCTCTCCTTTTCCTCTTTCTTTTTCTTTCCTTTTTTATTTTCGTTTTTATTTCAAAAAATATTCATGTTTCTTGAATATTATTCACATATTTATAAAAAAGTTTGTCTTTTACAAAAAAATGTGAGTTTAAAAAAATTCTCATTTTTCAAAAAATGGTTGGGTTTCCAAAAATTGTTCATGTTTTCAAATTTCTTCTGTAGTTTCAAAAATTGTTCGCGTTTTAAGAAAAAACCTTTCCTTTTTTCAAATTTCTATTTCTTTACTTCACTTTTTCTATTTCTTTGCAATTCCTCTTTCTTCTCTTTCTTGTACTTGAGAATTTCAAATTTTGTTCAAAAATTCAAAAAATGTTCAGAAGTTCAAAAATGTTCCTGTTATTATCTTTTGTTCACAAATTCAAAAACAATTCTCCAATTTTCATAAAAATTTCCGCATATTTAGAAAAAATGTTCACCTTTCAAATATTGTTGATAATATAAAAAAATGTTCGTGTTTTCAATTTTTCTTCTGGAGTTTGAAAAAATGTTCCTCTTTCAAAATTCATTCGCAATTCTAAGGAAAATGTTTGTTTCTTCCAATTTTGTTCTGTAGTTTCAAAAAATGTTTCCATTTCAAAATTTGTTCGAATTTTTTGAAAATGTGTCTCTTTCTATTTTGTTTGGGAGTTTCGAAAAATGTTCACAAATTTTTAAGTGTTTAAATTGTCCAATTTTGTTCAGGATTTCCATGTTTTTAAATGGTCACGTTTCCAAAATTTGTTTTGGAATTTGAAAAATGATCATCTTCATTTTTTTTCTTCTTCTTTTCTCCTATCCCCTTTTCGTTTTTAAGAATATTGTCACAGTTTAAAAAAAATCGTGATTTCATAAAAACTGTCCATTTTTTCAAAAAAGTTCGAAAATTTAAAACATGTTTACATTTTTTCAATTTTTGTTATGAGTTTCAAAAAATATTCTTATGTCAAAATTTGTTCATGGATTTGCAAAAATATTCGCGTTTCCAAATTTTTGTTCAGAGTTTCAAAAAATGTTCTCTTTAACAAAAAATTGTTCACATATTGAAAAATGTTCATGATTTTCAAAAAAGTGTTCAGTTTATCAAACCTTTGTTCACATATTCCAAAAATGTTCGAGATTTTTAGTTTTTCTTGTCAGGATTTGAAAAGTGCTCGCTTTTAAAAAAACACTGTTTCAAAATAATTTCCGCCTTCGGAATTTGACAAAATGTTCGGACTTATATTACCTTTAGCTTCGCGCGCCATAGTTATTTAAGAAAGCTTATCTATCTCGTTGGCTATGCTCTTTCATACCTAACAATAGGTCCCTGGTTCAATCCCTTCCTCAAGCAGTCTTTTTTGGATTTTTTACTGTGTTACGCTAATGGGACGACTGAGCTGGAGTCGCGCCTGTGCGTTCGCTCGGCAATTTGCCGCAACGAGGAACTCCCTATATATATGCCTAAAAGAAATGAACTCCCTATGCAATGTTGCCTTTTTTCCCTTAAAAAAGGGCGATGATACCCTCAAGAAAAAAAGGGGGGGTGATGATAGGCACTAGTTGACCGGCCAAAATTTTGGCCAGTCGCCGCGCGGGCGTACGATTTGAGTGTCAATGACGGAGCTACAACAAGGCCGGATGGGCCATGACCTGGCCAATATTTTGTAATTTGTACACATTTTTTTTCTGTTGGCCCATAGGTTATTTCTTTCATTTTGGCCTGCCAAGCCTTCCCTAAAAAAACCCTAAAAAGCCGTCCCTCAAAAAAACTTTTTTTGGCCCACCAGAGTTGGGCTTCAAGCTCCACCACTATTGAGTGCCCCGCATTGTTAGACCCCCCCTCCACAGAATCATCTCCTTCCTCGTGTTGGCACGCACATTGCGTGATTCCTCTCCCTGATGGAGACACCGTGGCCATGGTCGTCGAGCTCTGCGAGGGTGACGCCATGGCTTCTATGGAACCACCATGTCCAAGGTTCGTCGAGCTCTGCCATCGAGCACTGTTGTGTCGATCACAGCTCCTTGTCGATCGAGATCGTAGCACAATGACTGGTTGTAGAATCGGTTGACGCCGGTCGTAGCAAACGCCATTGCCGGTTGTAGCACTGGGCTCACCCCAGTCATCGTTGTTGCAACTTTTGTAAACGTAGGTTGCAACTCTACTAGTGGTCGATTCCAGCTTCTGCTCATGCTGGTTATAGCTTTCTCAACAACAGCTACAGAAACCACCATTGCCAATTGTAGCATCTCGCGGTCATGCTTCCAGCTCTATGGTCGGTCTGTTCCCGCAAATGTACACATAGTTGCAGCAAACAATGTCGTCGGTTCAAGCTTCTCTCTGTCGCAACACCTAGACGTTGTGACTTTATAGACCTTGGTTGCAGCTCTACTGGTGGCCAGTTCCAGCTTTTGCCGATGCCCATTGTAGCTTTCTTGACAACAACCGTAGCAACCATCATTGTCTATTGTAGATCTCGCGGTTGAAGGAAATATGCCCTAGAGGCAATAATAAAGTTGTTATTTATATTTCCTTATATCATGATAAATGTTTATTATTCATGCTAGAATTGTATTAACCGGAAACTTAGTACATGTGTGAATACATAGACAAACAGAGTGTCACTAGTTTGCCTCTACTTGACTAGCTCGTTGAATCAATGATGGTTATGTTTCCTAACCATAGACATGAGTTGTCATTTGGTTGACGGGATCACATCATTAGAGAATGATGTGATTGACTTGACCCATCCGTTAGCTTAGCACGATGATCGTTTAGCTTGTTGCTATTGCTTTCTCCATAACTTATACATGTTCCTATGACTATGAGATCATACAACTCCCGAATATCGGAGGAACACTTTGTGTGCTACCAAATTTCACAACGTAACTGGGTGATTATAAAGGTGCTCTACAGGTGTCTCCGATGGTGTTTGTTGAGTTGGCATAGATCGAGATTAGGATTTGTCACTCCGATTGTCAGAGAGGTATCTTTGGGCCCTCTCGATAATATGCCTTGCAAGCAATGTGACTAATGACTTAGTTGAGGGATGATGCATTACTGAACGAGTAAAGAGACTTGCCGGTAACGAGATTGAACTAGGTATTGAGATACCGACGATCGAATCTCGGGCAAGTACCATACCGATGACAAAGGGAATAACGTATGTTGTTATGCGCTTTGACCGATAAAGATCTTCGTAGAATATGTAGGAACCAATATGAGCATCCAGGTTCCGCTATTGGTTATTGACCGGAGATGAGTCTTGGTCATGTCTACATAGTTCTCGAACCCGTAGGGTCCGCGCGCTTAACGTTTTGTGACGATTTGTATTATGAGTTATGTGATTTGATGATCGAAGTTTGCTCGGAGTCCTGAATGTGATCACAGACATGACGAGGAGTCTCAAAATGGTTGAGACATAAAGATTGATATATTGGACGACTATATTCGGACATCGGATGAGTTCCGGGGGTCACTGGATATTTATCGGAGTGCTGGGGGGTTATAGGAACCCCCGAGGGAACTAATGGGCCTACACGGGCCTTGTGAGAGAGAGAGAGGAGGGGGCCTAGGGCTGGCCGCCCCCCCCCCCCTTGGGAGTGCGAATTGGACAAGGAGGGGGGGGGGCGACACCCCCTCTTTCCTCCCTCTCCCCTCTCCTTCGTTTCCTATTTCCCCTTCCTAGTTGGACTAGGAAAAGGGGAGGCCTACTCCTACTAGGAGGACTCCCCCTCTTCTTGGCGCGGCCCTAGGCCGGCCGGCCTTCCCCCTTGCTCCTTTATATACGGGGGCATGGAGGCACCCTAGAACACACAAGTTGATCATTGATCTCTTAGCCGTGTGCGGTGCCCCCCTCCACTATAATCCACCTCGGTCATATCATAGCGGTGCTTAGGCGAAGCCCTGTTCTGGTAGCATCATCATCATTGTCATCACGCCGTCATGCTGACGAAACTCTCCCTCGACACTCTACTGGATCGTGAGTTCGTGGTGTTGGGGAACGTTGCAGAAAACAAAAATTTTCCTACGGTTTCACCAAGATCCATCTAGGAGTTCATCTAGCAACGAGTGATCGGATTGCATCTACATACCTTTGTAGATCACGCGCGGAAGCGTTCAAAGAACGGGGATGAGGAAGGTGTACTCGACGTGATTCAAATCACCGGAGATCCTAGCGCCGAACGGACGGCACCTCCGCGTTCAACACACGTACGGTCAGCGTAACGTCTCCTCCTTCTTGATCCAGCAAGGGGGAAGGAGAGGTTGAGGAAGATGGCTCCAGCAGCAGCACGACGGCGTGGTGGTGATGGAGCTGCAGTACTCCGGCAGGGCTTCGCTAAGCACTATGGAGGAGGAGGATGTGTTGGAGAGGGAGAGGGAGGCACCAAAGGCGTGGATTGAGAGGCCCTCCTTCCCCCACTATATATAGGGAGCCTAGGGGGGGGGGCGCCGGCCCTAGGAGATCCAATCTCCTAGGGGGGGCGGCGGCCAAGGGAGGAATCCCTCCTCCCCAAGGCACCTAGGAGGTGCCTTCCCCTTTTGGGAGTCTTCCCTTCTTG